CAATGGTGATATGTCTAATAGGTAAATAGATATATCTTTTATATAATACTACATATACAACATGATTTGACAAAAGATAGTTGATTTATTTTAAATTAAAAATATAATTTTATCTAATCATTTTTTATTACATTATGTTGTATAAGAAATGTTGTATGTATAATATTACTTTTATAAAACACAACCAAACTTCGAAAAAGTCATATTCATTTTCACCATTAGCAAATTATTGTGAAAATCATTGGAAGTTCTTAAGCTCATTATGCCACTATTACATGACTGCATCTCTGATACTGAATAACCATCGTGTCGCACTAGTATGAACTCAGCCACCATTTTTGTAGGGATCAAAATCCCTTAAAAGAAGAGTTCATCAAATCTATCACTCCTAAAGATAACAAATGAACTTTCAAAAATAAAATGAGCATCCATGTGGTACCTGTAGAAGATTACCACAGCTTCAAATCTTTGTCTTGAGTTGAATTTCCAGGGTTCTTTAGCACACACAGCACAATATCAAATGCCTATCTCATCTTGAAGGCTTAATTGTTATCTTCTATAGTTACAAATTCAACAAATGCTTTCAGTAAAGGAGATTAGAGATATATACTAAGTGCTCCTAGACATAACCACCATTGACACGAATAACTTGCCCATTAACCCACTCACTAGCATCAGTAGCCAAGAACCCGACAACAGGCGCAACATCCTTGGTCTCACCAAGCCGACAAAGTGGGCTCTCGTCAATTGCCCTCTTTACCATCTCCTTAGTCTTGCCATCAAAGAACATATCAGTCGCAATTGGCCCTGGGGCCACACAGTTTGCTGTTATACTAGTTCCTTTGAGCTCCTTTGCTAGTATCTTCACCATTGTCTCCACAGCTGCCTTGGATGCTGTGTATGCGCCAAACCCCGGCTTCAATGCACCAACCAGTGACGATGATAGAAGTATAATCCGGCCTCCACCACCACGCTTTAGCCTATTTGCTGCCTCTTTACAACATAAGAATGCACCCCTTGTGTTGACACTGTAACCATAAATAAATCACATGACAGGAACTCAAATTATTTCAGTCCAAAATGAAAGTATAAAGGAAAAAGTATGTGTTGGACTACAATTCTAATTCGAGTTTATAGATTTTATTGCAGATTGAATGTTCGAAGATAAATGATTCAAGAAAACAGTCATTACCGATCAAAACCTGACACTCCAATGCAAGCACACAAGCAAAACAAATTTAAACAATTCAAATGTACCTCCTAAACGTTTAGATTCTTAACTTCTAACCATTATTTTTTTTTTTTTTGTGGATGATTAGCGTGTCCAGGCTAACTCACGGGTACCTCAACCAATCTCCCAGACCGTGGAATTACTAGCCAGGCAAGAGCTCCGATGGCCACTCCTATTAACAACCGAGAAGAGACTCGAACTTAAAACCTCTCGTGTAATACAATTAAGAGTCCCTATCGAACTACTCGGCTATCCAAGTGTTATATTTAACCATTATCTACCTTGGCTTGAAATTGATGAAATATCAATATGAACACTATTCAAAATGCTCAAGGTTCCATATTCTTGTTCAAACATTTGCAAATTGCAATTAGATGAATAAAAAGGATTCTCTGTTTCTACTTCTAAAATAAAGAAAAATAAACGCAGAATTTTTCACCGTTTTCCATTTTCATCGCGCTAAAAACAAGAACACAAAAAACAAAACCAAATTAAGCAACATTTCACTTCCAAAATTTACACTTGCTTGATGATAACATAAAAATTACCTGAAAATACGATCAAAATCCTCCAAAGAAGTATTAGCTATAGAGGGGTACTTGGGATCAAGCACCCCGGCTGAGTTAACCAGGACATGAATCGGTGAGCCAAAGGCCTGCTCAGCCGAGTCAAAGAGAGACTTAACCTGGGCTGGGTCCGAAACATCAGCTTTGACGACGATGGCTCGAGGGGGAGAGTCGGGAGAAGCAGAGGAGTTAATCTCGTCGGCTACCAGATCGGCTTGAACAGAGCTGGAGGTGTAATTGATGATGAGTTTGGCTCCAAGTTGGGCGAGGTGTATCGCTATGTCTCGGCCGATTCCTCGTGATGAACCGGTTACAATTGCGACTCGGTCTTTCAGTGGGAGTGAGTGAGTCTCCGAGTTGGTAGCCATTTTCCGTAGACATGAAATAAGGCAAAAGGTCGATGATTTATAAGGGTAAAAGAGATGCGGCCCCCCAAGGTTTAGCTAATTACGTTCACACCCCTGGTTTCATAAATTCCAGATTCACCCCCTTAAATTAACAGCTTTTGTTTCTTCTAACAGTCAAAGGATAAAAATGTCATTTATTACATTTTAATATTTTCATTTACTAAGTTCCAGATTCCGATTATCTTTTACTCCACCGTGGCTCTCTCTCCCTCTTTGTTCCAGATTCTGATTCATATAAAGATTTGTTTGTGTAAAGACAGCATGATTCATATAAAAATTTAATGTATTCTTTTGAAAAGGATGGGGAGTTTGCCATAAAAGGAACAAAGAGGGAGAGAGAGCCACGGTGGCTCGCGCGTTGGGTGGTTTGCGTGGTTGGGCAACAGGGAGTTGGTTGGAGAAAAGAGTCGAGCATGTGGTGGGCAGGCAATGGTGGGTGACGTGCAAGTGGCGGCCGTCGGGCCTTCTCAATCCAAAAACCAAATCAACACAACAAACACTCCAATAATCAATTAAAATCACAACCCAAACTGCAAAATCAATCAAACTCCGACATCCATCAAAAACCCAAAAAAATCCAGTCAATTGCGAAATCGGCAACAGTGGGATGTTGGCAACGGGGAGTGTGGTCAGCGGTAGGTACCAGACGCCGTGGAGATGAAGAAGGTCTGGTCTTCATCTTTTTTATTTCTTTGAGAGAGAGATTTTTCTTGGGTACGGATGAACAAGAAAAAAAAGGGGAACTAGTGGGAAAAGAGAAAGAGCAGCGTTGGTTTGGGATAAGTTTGAAATCTTAAATCAGTGAGAGGGTAGTTTAGTAATAATTCCCTTGGAATCTGTATCAGTACTTTCGTTAACAATGTTAATGTAAGGGTGGGAATATAAAATTTATGAAACCAGGGTAGGACTTAGAATTTCGCTAAACTTTGGGTCGAGCATATCAGTTATCTGATTTATAATAAATTTGTAGGGCCATATATAAAATCTATAATTTTTTTAATTATAAATAAGAACATAAAAATTAAACATTACCCTGATTTATATAATTGTAGGCCATATATGTCAACATCAATAAGAAAAATCTATAATTTTTTAATTATAAAATAAGACATAAAATTAATCCTAATTTAGAAAATTCTTCGTATTGTGTATATATATAATATATCTGTTCAGTGGAACTCGATGAATCGAGTTCGAACTCGATTCCTAAAAGTCGAATTTGAGTTGGTTAACTGAGTTTAAGTCGTATTTTTTGAGCTTTTTGTACAGTGATCAAACTTGACTTGTGAGATTATTCGAATTATTCGAACTCAAACTCAACTTAACTAATTTGAGTCGAATTCGAGCCGAGCTCGGCGGCTTGTGCGACTCGCTCAATTTCGTCTCTATAGATTATTCAAAGGTTATCAGTCCAAGTCCTTCTTCGATTGCTAATAGGAATAGTTACTGAATTTCTTATCCACCGATGATTATAAATCTTGTAAAATTAACTGAGGTGCATATAAACTTCCAGATCCTCCGATCATTAAAAAGAAAAAAAAACGGACACCCACCGATTATGTTTAATAGATTATACGATCCAACGTAATTAAATTAAATAAACCCATTAGTAAAGATTTTTTTTTTCAAAAAATTCAAATAAAGTAATGACTTCACGTGTATATTGATTATTGGATAAGCACAGGATACAATCTAATATTATGGCATTGTTCTGACTCATTGATCATGTCGACTAATGCATCCAACGGTCGATGGAAAACCGCTTAAAATACTTCACCATAACGTAAACATCAGATCAAGATGATGTCAGCCATGACGATCCAATGAGAGCTTCAAGATTCAACCTTTTTGAATTTCCCAGAAAAATTAACATCAAATCAATAAATCTTCAAAGTCAAACCACTATCCACCATTAGCTCTAATGATTTGGCCATTGATCCTTCCCCATCATCACTCCCCAAAAATCCCACAATTTTACTCACATCCTTAGGCTCTCCAAGTCTTCCCAGAGGGCACGCATCTGCAAACCTGTTTATCATTTCCTCACTTTTACCAGCAAAGAACAGCTCCGTTGCCACCGGCCCGAGAGCCACACAATTCACTGTTACCCACTACCCTTCACCTCTTTCGCCAGGATCTTCGCCATTGTCTCAATGGCCGCTTTGGAAGCAGCTAGGCTGCATATCCAGGCGGGAGTGATCCAATAACCGATGTTGATATCAGAATGATCCTCCCGCCACCGCCGCGAGTCAGGCGATTAGCGGCTTCCTTGGCACACAAGAAAGCGCCTTTGGTATTCACATTGAATTTGCATCCCAATCTTCTACTGTTGTATTGGCCAGATGTTGGATACTTGGGTTCAGGACTTCCGGCGCAATTTACAAGTATATGGATTTTTGATTCGAACACTTGTTCGCTTGATCGAAAGGAACTTGACCTGATCAGGATCTGAAACATCAGCTTTAACAGCTATTGCTCGGCAGAGGAAGAGGTACCAGAAGAATTTAGCTCGGAAGCTAGGAGATCAGCCTGGGTGGAGTTTTGAAGCATAATTGATCACAACTCTGGCGCCAAGGGAGTGGAGGTGAATGGCAGGCCTTGCCAATGCCACGCGAAGCACCGGTGACTATAGCTATCCGGCCGTCGAGAGACCTGTGCACAGTTTCCCCACCCTGAGATAGATATTCAATGTGTGATATTTTGAGGATTGTATGTAGCTGCTATATTTATAGAAGAGATATGCTTACCTGAGGAATCTTCAGAGATGGCGTTGACATTTGACTAACAAAATGAATGGTTCAAGCATCTGAATTAACTATAAGAATTGTCTTCTTCTTGGGGAAGCTGCATCTACACATAAACAAAGGTGTCGGTGTCAGAATGGCAATATTCCCCGTATTTCTTATGTGAAACACAATCTAGAGAGGAATAAGGTCATTAACACAAGGCCAGCAGTTGACACTTGACAGTGAACACTCAGCAGCCCAAGTTTGAACAAACTCAAAAATAAAGGGAAGAAAATTCATAAATAAGTCCTAGACGAGGCAATGACCCCATCATTTGAGAGAGAAGGAGAGAGAGACAGAAACAATAACACTACGGACACCGAAAAAATTATATCGAAATTGTGTATCGGCCTACGTGTATCAATCGTATAATTTTTTTTTTAATTTTTTTCTAGTGAACAGTCGTCCAAATTTTTTGGATGACCGTTCACTCACATGGACCCCCGTCCATATTATATAGACGGGGTCTATATACTAGGGACGGACGTCCCCATTTAAAGGACGTCCGTCCTTGAATAAAATACAATAAATTTTTTTTTATAAACATTAAGAACGACCATCCCTTCATTTTGGACGGACGTCTGCAAATAAAGAACGTCCGTCCTTAACCAAAATATGAAAATAAAAAAAAATAAAAAAACTTTAGGGACGGCCGTCCATAAATTTTAGATGGCCATCCCTTACGTTTGGACGGATGTCCATTCCCATCCATACTTTTAAAAAAAAAAAAAAATTCTAAAAAAGACTCTCTTCTTCGTCTTCATTCTAAAAAACTAATTGCTTTGAGCTTCAATTAGTTTTTTAATGCAGATTGCAGAGAAACTCAAAGCAGTGATGGGAATCTTAATAGGAATACCAGTGACAGAACACCCAATCAGTTTAATGAGTAATAGAATTTTTTTTTTTTAAAAAAGTATGGACGGGAATGGACGCCCGTCCAAATGTAAGGGACGGCCGTCCATAATTTATGGACGACCGTCCCTAAAGTTTTTTTTTATTATTTTCATATTTTGGTTAAGGACGGGCGTCCCTTATTTACGGACGTCCGTCCAAAATAAAGGGACAGCCGTCCATAACGGATAAACGGCCGTCCCTAATGTTTATAAATTTTTTTTTATTGTATTTTATTCAAGGACAGGCGTCCTTTAAATGGGGACGCCCGTCTCTAATATATGGACCCCCGTCCATGTAATATGGACAGGGTCCATGTGAGTGAACGGCCGTCCAAATCCGTTCACTAAAAAAAAATTGAAGAAAAATTCACACGACTGGTACACGTAGGCCGGTACACAATTTCGGTGCAATTTTTTCGGTGTCCGTAGTGTTATTGATTAAAAAACTGGGTTGAAAGTTCATAAAAAATAATGANAAAAACTGGGTTGAAAGTTCATAAAAAATAATTAAAAAGGTATCAAATATGAAGTGCTTGAGTTGCTTAAAATCAAAAGGTCATGCATAAACTCCAGAAAACTAATGATGAAATGTCAACTAAACTGGATTTAAACCAAGGTTTATACAGACCCAAAAAGGGCAACATATCAAACTCTATTTAAGGCAAATTCCAAAAGACGGTAAGAATCAAGAGGGTTGGACGTGGGATGTTGCCATATTTTTTTGGAACAATGGAGAAATTATCAAAAAACATTCATAAGCCAACTGGGATAACCCAAAAAATACATGAGAAATTGACAATAATCTCTAAATGGAAAAAAAAGAAGCTAACACTGATAGAGGCAGATATCTTGGAGAAGGTTTTATGATGAAGACACAACAAAGCAGAGAACATTATGGAAGGAGAAAATCCAATTTTGGTAAAAAAAAAAATTACCAAATCAAATTACAAGCAAATATACTACAACTGAACAAAAAATAAATAAATAAAGTGAAGGTTGTCTCATTACCATAATCTTCCAAAAGGTGAATTCAGCAGAGGAGACGAACTCCTCCTCTGAGCTTAAAGAGAATTTCCAGGCCTCATGAGATCATTTTTTTTATTCTCAATCACTGCATGCACTTTCATTTACCAATAATCTCGACATGAACAAACACCACCTTCAAAATGATGAAAGCGGTAGGCATCTCGTACCACAATAGTCCGATTTGATATTTTTGATACATATTTGATCCAATTATGACAATCATTACATACACGAAGATTTTTAATTACACGTACAGGGATCGTATCAGACAAACTAAGAAGACCATAGGCAATAGCCAGTTTCTCACTGTGAATATATACGGTTGGATCCTTCTGCTCTTGCTCTATCTCACTCCAAAGGCTATAACGGTCTTGCACATAACCAATTTTGGCCGCCCTTTCATTCAGATTTCCCAAAAATTCATATATTTTATCTGCTAGTGGATGGAGGCGATCACCAACAAAGAATGCATGAATTGAATTTTTAACCTCAATCCAGCTTTGGCCAGGCTCTTTCTTCACACCCCTATCTTTCATCATTTGCCTCATCTGATCTCTAGAATCCCATTTCTGAGCCACTGCATATATATTTGATAGAAGAACATAAGTTGCAGAGTCTTCAGGTTCCAATTTTAGAAGATGATGAGCTGCAAACTCTCCAATTTCTAGATTCTTATGAACTCTACAAGCACTTAAAAGGGTTCTCCAAACCATTGCATCTGGTTCAATCGGCATATTCTCTATAAATTCCCTTGCACGGTCCAAAAGGCCAGCCCGACCAAGGAGATCAACAACACAGGCATAATGTTCTGGTTTAGGCACTAAGCAATATTCTTTGCTCATGGATTCAAAGTAGCCAAGGCCTTCATTCACCAAACCTACGTGGCTACAAGCTGATAAAACTCCCACAAAGGTCACATTGTTCGGCATTGCATCAGTCTGTTTCATTTTCTCAAAAAGATTTATTGCCTCAATACCATATCCATGTTGAGAAAAGCCTGTGATCATGGCATTCCATGAAACCTCATTTTTTTTGGACATTTCAAGAAACTCTCTCTTGGCATCTTCAATGCTGCCACACTTTGCATACAATGTGATTAAAGCATTAGAAGCTTCAGTTTCTAAAGCATAACCTGTTTTCATAATCATGGCATGGATTTGCTTTCCCTGTTTTATATTTGCTATGTTGGCAGCAGCACTAACTGCAGAACCAAATGTGTATAAATTAATTTCTACTCTGGCTCTATTCATCTGGGAAAAGACCTGCAGAGCTTCCTCACAGTATCCACTCTGTGCAAATCCTGAAATCAGTCCATTCCATGATATACTATCTTTAGCACCAATTTTCTCAAATGCTAAGTATGCTTCTTCGATTATACCACATCTAGCATAAAGACTAACAAGGGAGTTTCCAACCGAAAGATCATCTGAAAAACCAGAGACATAGGATTGAGCATGTATTTGTCGTCCTTGATTGAGTGCTTGAATACCAGCACATGCACTGATTGCACTTGAAAATCCTATGTCATCAGATTGAATCCCTCGGTTTTGCATTTCTTCAAAAAGTTTAAGTGCTTCAGCAAACATATCATGCTGTAAATACCCAACAATCATAGCTGTCCAGGAAACAACATCATCCTCAGATAGTCTTCTCAGAATTCCCTGTGCAGTATTTAGCTTTCCATTCTTAGCATACATATCTATGAGCACACTACAAACATATACATTAAACTGATAGCCAGTCTTTATGACTTGAGTATGAATCTGCTCTCCTAGATCAAGAGCTCCTAGTGAGGTACAAGTTCTCAATATACTTGGATAGGTGTACTGATTGGGTAGTAGACCTTCAATCTGCATCTGTCTGAATATCTTAAAAGATTCAGTTAGGTTATCTAGCAGCCCGTAAGCCACCAGCATCACATTCCAAAGAACAACATTTTCCCTCTCCGTTGTGAGAAAAAATTCATAGGCATTCTCTACATCCGAGCATTTCACATAAAGATCAAGCAAGGAGCCTTCAACAATGATGTCTTTAGAGATCCCCAATTTTATTGCATAAGAGTGAAGTTGCTCTCCCTTATTTAGAGCCCCAACTGATGCACAGGCACTCATGAGACTTGCAACTGTAACACAGTCTGGTTTCAAGCAGTCAAGCTGCATTTTCTCAAACAATTCCAATGCTCTATCACTAAATCCACGCTGTGCCAGCCCAGAGATCAGCGAGTTATATGAAACACTATCCCTCTGCTGCATTTTGCTAAAAACTTGTTCAGCAGATATAAAATTCCCCGCACGAGAATACAATGTCACAAGAGCATTACACACATATGTTTCAGAAGAAAATCCCCACTTGAAAACAAGTGCATGAAAAATCTCTCCCTTGCCATATAGCTCTAGCTTAGTGCAAGCACTTAAAGCACTTGATAAAGCATAAGGTGTAGGTAAAATTCCCAATATATGCATCTGGCAAAACAGATGAATAGCTTCTTGTTCATGTCCAGTTTGAGAAAAGCCAGAGATCATAGCCACCCAAGATACACTATCCTTTAAAACTAAGTTATCAAAAACCTTTTTAGCAGAATCTACAAACCCATTTTTGGCATACAAATCTATTAAACGATTACAAACAAGCGTATTAGAACCAAAACCATGATAAATAATCATAGCATGAACCTGCTTAACATATTCAAAAGCAGCATTACGACCATCACTACAGGCCCTCAAAACACTTGCAAAAGTTGCTTCATTTGGCTTCACATTTTTATTTATCATTTGTGAAAACACATCCAACACTCTATCACTCAACTTCTTTGCAATAAACCCAGAAATTAACTTATTCCAAGAAAACACATTTGTACTAGGCATATCATCAAGAACGTTGACTGCACCATCAAAATCACCACTTTGTACATAAATATCAAGAACTTTATCACATAATACTTGCTCTCTACCAAAACCCAACTTTAAAATCCTCCCTTGAATCTTTTTAGCTTCAATAAAAGATCCAGAATTCAAACAACCATCCAAAAGAAAAGTAAACGTCTGACAATTCGCAAGAATTCCACGCTTTTCCATCAAATGGAGGATCTCAAATCCCTTGAGATTCCACTCACTTTCTTGGACATCAAACTCCTCAAATGAATGACAAATTGCAGTGTTACTAAACCCATTAAAACTCAACCTCCTCCAATTCCCGCAAAAGCACTGTAACATACAAAAACACCCCCAAAAAAAGTTAAAAGAGAAAAAAAAAAAAAAAAGATTTTGTCAATAAATAAGCAAAAGGGTTTTGTTTAAAGTTTACATATAAATGATAAACGAGTTAGTAGTTACCTCGCGAAACTTCTGTTGGGAGATTTTGTTTTTCGGTTTGAGTTTACAATGAGAGAAGGGATATGAAAGAGACAAACGAAGAGAAGTGAGCTTCAGAAACATGAATTCTTGTATTTGAATGAGCATTAAAGAGCGGGAAAATATCTGAGAGATTGAGTACAAAGGAAAGGATTCTACAGATTCTTCACTCTTGTTTACAGTTTAAGTATTTGTTGGGTTACGGTTAACTTTCGCGCCAGAGTATTCAAAGACTCATTTAATTTTTTCGAGGTTTAACTTAATCATAGATTAACCCACATGGACCTCTCCACCCCCTGATAGTAAATCCTTTAGCTACTCGGATTAGCAATATTTAAAAGATTTTATGTTCCAGTCGTAAGAGAATTATTTACCATATTTATATAATTACCTTGATTTATTAAGCTTGTACAGTGTTTGGTGACCTTGAGGATAAACAGATTTCACATACAATAAATTGTGTTATAAATGGTTAATAGTGTTATAAATGAATAATCGCATCATAGATGATAAATCATGTTATAAATAAATAATCGTATCATAAACAATAAATCATGTCATAAACAGTTAACCCTATAACATACCAAATTATTGTATTATAAACGAGTTTATACTACTCGTTTAAGTAATCATGTCACTAAGCACGTTCGCGAGTTAAGGCTCTTTAACTCGAACATGGCATGATTAATAAACGGGTTGGATTCGTCAACTCGAATATGACATGAACATGATTAAAAACAATCTTATCCTGCTTAAGTCATGTTGGGATGGTGTGTGTCAAAAATTGTCACCCCTACTTTACGATAAGTTAAGTGGTGTAAGAGGTAACAGATGATTTTTCAAAATATGAGGGGGGCATCAGTAATTTTCAATATTTATAGGGTCTTGTAAAATCTTAGTGGAGGTGGCTGATAAATGTCCTTATAATAAGTTAGGTTCCGTTGACAATTGAGCCCCACTTTATTTCACATCTCCCCGCCATTCTCACGGTCAAAATCAAAAACCCCTTTCACTCCTGCAAGCTAAAACGACGCCGTCTTCGCACTTCCCTCTCATTTAAACCAGACATCAGGAACAAATTCTCGCATCAAAACCCTAGAACCCGAGCTCCCCAATTCAGCAATGGCAATCGCACGAACCGGAGTTTACGTCGACGACTATTTGGAGTGTAATTCTCTCCACAGTCCCTCAAATTCGTATCAA